TATATATATATATATATATATATATATATATATATATATATATATATATATATATATATATTTATGCATATATTCTAGTTATAAATAATATTATATATAAAAACTAGCAATTAACTTTGTACACACATTTTTTTAAAGAGAATTAAGGTAGTATGTATTAATTAGTTTTTAAGACAAGCAATGCAGTACTTTCAATAAGTGCAAACTGCACTATTGTAATTGTTAATGTACTGAGGAATAATAAATTATATTTTCCTACAATATGCTGTACTTTTTCATTTATTCTATATATTAATACCTATTAATTTTCTGTTAATCATATTAAAATTTATCCTGAAATAGTCCTCAAATAATATATTTTATATATCCTAAATTAATCCGTAAAATAGTTTATAAAATGCCTCATTATAACATTCTGGACGATTTTAGGATGCTTTGTAAATATCATAGGATATATAGGCGTCCTATGCGTCCCTGTGGACACCCTCAGGATTATGAAACGGAATATCCTGAAGATATTTGCTATATATAGGTATAATTGAGGCGCTCATTTGCTATTAATGATTTGCTCAGGACATCCTCCGCAAGAACAAGGATTACAACAGGATTTCCTCAGGATATCCCACATACTCAGCAGGATGTCCTACAGACGTCCAAAAGACATCCCCGTGCTGTTTGGAATATATTTGATTAACACATTTTGATTTTTATATTACACATATTTTTGTTTTTTATATTTTGATAAACACTTTGTTTTTTATATTTTGAAAAACACATGATACATAAAATACATAATATATGAATACATAAACATATAATAAAAAGCTCTTTTCTTTTAAGTGTATTAATTATTTACAGATTATTGGGAAAAAGAGGTTGACTACTCTCACAGCACATTAATATTGTCGTGAGGTTACAGCAATCTTAAATTGTAAGATGGTAACATTATACGGGGGTTAATAACCTTGTCACTAGCCTTCTAAAAACATGAAAATGTTCGTCCATGCTCATTCCATTAACATTACAGAAACCTTATACGAAACATTATATTAAAGTTACTATAATATGCCTAGAATCTTTCAATATTTTTAATAAGAAATTCTTGATAAAGTAATATTATTTATATTTAGCTTAGTCAATTTATATTGATTTTAAATGAAATTTAGCTCTTTTATTTGATTTCTCACTATTTTCACACCTGAAAATTTACTCAATACTAGTCG